CATCTGACTGATGCTGAAGACAACTACTGATGATACGTAGACGGAGATGGGAGACGGGTAACACCTCTAAGTAGCGCGGGGGCGTGATTGAAATTTACTGAGGCAAGCAGGAGACGTTTGAGCAGTGCGTCCAATATGAGGATGACGCCTACTCACATTGGGTTGTCGCATGCATTTATTATCAATGAAGGTAAATTAATCAAGCTCGGATAGGGCAACTCCTTTTTCCTTTTTCATACGCTCTAAAAATGTTCAACAATCATTTTCTAAGTACTCAATCCTAAATTCTCGTTTGAAATTCCAGTTTTTCACTTCTTGTAATTTTCCGTTTATTGTTCATACGTTTTTCAGACCAATCAAAGCAAGTTAAATTCTATGCAAATCAAATGAGTTGCTGTCTTCAAAACAGGCTGCACCTTGTCTCGAGTTGTTATTCAACCACTTTTTGCTGAGATCAATGCCACTTGCAGCCTCATGTCACCAAGCAAATCACAATATTTTTACACCTTATTAACTACTAAGTCTACCACATACCCTTTTTCTCAAATGTCTCAGCACACAGCCATTTTTTTTAGCTTTATGGGGCTAAGGTCATGCCAAATTTCACATTTTTCGTATTGGATTCCATTTAATATTATGAATTATTCATGGTCTTGGTAAATAGTTGCCCGACTGCGGCTACAATTACTCTACCTGGCATATATGCGAGGCTTACTTCGTCGTTATCACCTGTTTGTATCATGCATTATGAACTTTGCGCTTCGGCTCTGGTTGCAACATTTGCATCTCTTTCTCGAACATGACCATGATTAATATCAGGAGGGTATTTTTCTTCCTCGCAGCTCGACCAGCACAAGGGACATCTGTCATAGCAAGCAATAATAATAGCTCCCACTTGTTGTGGGCGCATTCACCTCGGCTAGCATCACTTCTCAAGAATAGCCTTTGCTTTCAGCGCGTGATTTGTCGCATCCTGTCTCCTGCAAATAGAATTCACTTCTTATAATTTGATATAGTATCAGGATTAGCTCACCAGTAATCTTTTTTTTTTGGAATGCGGGGACCACGAGGAGTAATGATGCCAAAAAGTTGGATCTGCTCTACGATTCTTTATTCTGCTTCATGTAGTGCACGTAGATGCGTTAGCGTTTTTCTAACCTTTGACTTATCCACTACACTTTGAAAAAGCTAATCGCATGGAGTGCGAAAGGAGCGGAGAAGAACCGTTTAAGGGTTCTCTTACGAGAAACTTCTATAGCCTTCTAAAGCCTCTGCAATAATTCATCCAATTATTGAGCGTAAACCATTCTGCTGCAAATCTTTTTAGATGCTGGGAGTCAAGTTCTTGAGAGATAAACATAGCCACACGGCTACTGATTAACGCTACAAGTTCGCTGATTATGGTCTGACAAACTATTCCAACTGAGAAACCTCGTTACTCATTTCTACATCTTTACTCGCCAGGCCAACCAATAAACTAAGATTGTTTGCTGAAACGATGACAGAGAAGTCGCCGTCAAGTGAGTGCTCTATTTCATCTGGCTTCTCAACGTGTTGCCACAAGTACGCATGAAATCTGAACCCTCTAAACATTGAGGTCTCGGTCCACGCGTGTCCTGTTTAGCTCATCTCCCCACCCCTTTTTAACGTGAAAATCTCAGCCACAGACCCCCCAAGCTCCTTCTTAGCTTCGTTTTTACCAATGATATGGTCAAATCTTATAGCACAATGTCATCACAGGTACTTGCTTCCCATTTTATCTTATTTAAATACATTATAATCTAACTAGTTCTTGAAATACGTATCTCTACATTTTTCTTCCTAAATTGCACTTTCTGTTTACTGGTGTTTCAAGCAAATCCTGGCTGTGCTCTTTAATAAATCATTCCTCATTCTCATACACATGAATTCGCATATAGTTCAAATATACGCTTATTTATTTCATGTAATTACCTCGTTTCCCGTTCTGGATGTATGCTCTGGATGTGTCGCACAACTCCCAATCCTTATCCCTACTGTTTCACTTCTGAGCGAGATGCTGTGTGGTTTCCATGACTCCCGTAGTCTTTTCGCTTGTATATTCACACACAGCTGCGAATCACTTTACGAATTAATTGCAAATGTCTTGGATAGGAAAACGTCGTTCTTTGTTCTGCGAACTAACTATTTCATTTGAAATTGGAAACATTAGGGCATTTTACGTCCTTTTCACTGTTCTATATTGCATGAGATTCTACGTTAAAAAAGCGAATAAAAAACGTTGAAATTGTTCATGCAAAAATAGCTCAAGTTTGAGATCAAACAAATTTCCTTTGCCACGTGTAGCGTACATATGTTCTTCAAGCTCCTCGCCCGCAATCTTGGCCCTTTGAGTCTCCAAAGGTTTAGCTAGTCATGTCCTCGCACGTCACAACACTAATTTCAGAATATTCTTGATTCAATGTGCGTCGTCCGCAGGTGATGGGTAAAGCATCCAGTAAGCTAAAACAGGATCAATTAAAGGCACTTGCTCAACAGACGTACTGTGAGTTAATTCTCAGTTTTTCAAACCTCTTCCACTTTTGTCTTTCGGGCTCTCGGCATTTATGCTGAAAGCATGAGAGAGTTGCCCAGATCGAATCATTGTATTAGCACGGACGGTGGGTCTCTAATGAAAAGCACCTAATTCTTATGAATGCAGCTATTCGCTTGAGATGATGGATCGAATAATTCTTCTGGGAGGCCAAGCTTTAGCCTTTCTAAAGCTTTGCAAAAATTTCTGATACTGCGTACATAAATGGGATATATGTTGTTGAGCAAAAAGATAGGAAAGTCGATTTGTCCTAGACTCGACGATTATCTGCAGGACGAGGAACATGACCTTAATTGGAGAGGAAAGTACATCCGCTGCTCATATCGAGTACATTGAGTTGCGCATAGAGAAGCGGGAATGAAAGGGACTTTCAGGAAACCCGTGTCATGACTTGACTCTTTAAAATATTTCCCGAAAGAAATATTTCTTTTCTTTTTGCATTTGGCAATCATTTTCTAGTTCATTTAGTCATAGAGTAAACAATCTTATGCATATTACTCTTTTCAAAAAACCTCTGCAT